CACAGTGCATAATGAGAAAAAAAAAACTTTGACCGTGTTTTTGGAATAAAACAGCGACTTTGTACTGTATTTTCATATGGTATTTATTGTTGTATTCTACTTTTCTTGGTCTCATTTTATAGAATGGAAGACCTATTACAAAAATTGAGATGATTTTGACTGGTTTTACAATGAAAAGTACCTTGAAATTGAGTGCAAAGTAGCAGAAATGTTTGATTTTTATCAAAGTTCAAAAGTAAACAAATCATGCCAAGCATCCAATACACATCAACTGGTGAGTCTAATATTCTTTCACAAGTATGCTGATATTATTTATACCATTTCTACGCATAACAGTAAATCTTCTAGTTTTTGTAATAATAAAAATTCAAAGTGGAAAGCCAAAGAAATATAAGAGGGGCCTGGGGATGTGACTAACGAACAGAGAACTTGTTATTTTAGTGCCAGGAATATCTTTCTTGTTTATTCTGGACCCTATTCGGAAATTGGCATCTTTTGAAATTTGTGTGAAACTGGCAAAATTGCTAAATTCTGACCACTTTATTGGATAGTTGAAATTGGTAAATGGGTGGTTTCTTGTACTCATTCGATAGAAAAAAATGGAGTTCTAGTGAAATAGTTATGATTTTTGTCGACTAGTACATTGGAATTGGCCGAAAATAGGGCTCAAAGTGGGCAAAATCTCCGATGCGTAAACATCATCGAGACCACTAACTTCGTGAGATCATAATTCCGTAAGTTTTCCATCAAATTTCATACTTTTGGTGTCATTATGATCGGGAAAAGATTCTCTATCTTTTCATAAGAAAAAATAATTTTTTTTTTTGAAATTTGGCCAACCCTGAGAACAAGTTTTGGATAGGGCCTGTCGACCCTCAAAGGGTTAAGATTACATAATATGTACTTTGAGCTACATACTATGTAGTCTGAGCTACATACTATGCAGTTTGAGCTACATACTATGTAGTCTGAGCTACATACTATGCAGTTTGAGCTACATACTATGTAGTCTGAGCTACATACTATGTAGTCTGAGCTACATACTATGTAGTTTGAGCTACATACTATGGAGTCTGCACTACATACTATGTAGTTTGAGCTACATACTATGTAGTCTGAGCTACATACTATGTAGTTTAAGCTAAATACTATGTAGTGTGAGCAACATACTATGGAGTCTGGGCTACATAGTATATAGTCTGAGCTACATACTATGTAGTTCAAGGCTACATACTTTGCAATTTGTTAACCTCTGAGAAACAACTGAGAGAGCTGCTGATGTCTGATCTAAAAAGTAATCATGTAAGGAAAAATATATACTGGTACAGGCAGTTGTTAACTCTTGTCTTCTGAAGTTAAAAACTGTCATATTTAAGTGAAATAAAAATTTCATAGTGACCAATAAAGAGCCAATGGCAAATTTCCCAGTTGCTTTAATGGTTTAACTTATGACTTTATGCATAAATACAGGTTGACACTCCTTAAAAAACAAGGTAAGATAGAAATTATTTTTTTAAAACTTCCTCAGCGTATAATTCATAAAAAGCTCAAGAGAAGAAGTAGCTTAACGTATTTCTACATGTTCGAAAAGTAAATCTGAACTATGTTAAGCAATAAAATATCTTTATTGCGGGGACATAATCACAAACAGCTGTGGTATGTATTATTATATCTATTAATAAAGGCATAATATCAAAAAGTGGTAAAAAGACACATGATGTAATGAAGTCTTATTATTACAACATTTCACCCATGAGTGGGCTTTATTAAGTACTTTATAAAGCCCACTGACTCATGGATGCAATGTTGCAGCAATAAAAACCTCACACCTCACTCTACTGTCTATTTACCATGCCATTTATGGTGAAGTGCTAAACCAATAGGAGTCTTACAGCGCCAGGGGAATGGGAGGTAATCAGGCTTGATCCAAGGAAGGGGATGGTAAGCTGTGATGCATAGAGTATTTAAATATCTTCACTAGGAATGAGAGCTGTGCCAATACGGCATCAAGCGAGTGTATATTACAAAAATATCCTCGATGAAGGTTAAACGGTAAAATCTTGCTTCACAATTTAACAATTAAACTGTTGCCTACATCTTGGTATCCTCTCTGTGGTAATTTCTTGTCATTATTTTTGTGTTTGTTTCTAGATAATTTTGTAGGTCTAAGTGGTAAGCTGTTCCATATTTGCTATCTTAGATCTACATGATCAACAGTTTAAAGATTAAGTGTATATTACATTGAATGAGAAGTAGTATTTTGTTAAGCAAATAAAATTATAAAACATTGTCCTTTGGTTTTAAGGTAGTTTAAAAACTGCTGAAAATGCTCTACATAACCAGCGGTTAAAATCTGTGTAACATGGAACCTATTCTTAAAACAATTATATACCATACTATATTTACATGAAATAAACATTTCCAAACTGACGAATTTAAATTCTGGAAGACTGTACCTACTTCCAACATTCTTCATGGACTGAATTAAAAGTGATTTGAAAATCGTAATAAAATAACATTTAACCCTTTGACTGTCGCGGCCGTATATATACGTCTTACAAGGTACCGTGTTTGACGTATATATACTCATAAATTCTAGCGGCTTCAAATCAAGCAGGAGAAAGCTGGTAGGCCCACATATGAGAGAATGGGTCTGTGTGGTCAGTGTGCACCATATAAAAAAAAATCCTGGAGCACGCAGTGCATAATGAGAAAAAAAAAACTCCGACCGTTTTTTTAATTAAAATGCCGACTTTGTGGTCTATTTTCGTATAGTATTTATGGTTGTATTCTCGTTTTCTTGGTCTCATTTGATAGAATGGAAAACATATTATAGAAATCGAGGTGACTTTGATTGATTTTACTATAAAAAGAACCTGGAAATGGAGCTCAAAGTAGGGGAAATGTTTGATTTTTACCAATGTTCAAAAGTACACAAATGATGTCATTGTCCAATAAATGTCCAACTAGCCATTCTAATATGCAGTCATGAATGGGTTGATGTTATTTATACAATTATTACAGTATTGCAGTAGTCTGCATAATAGTAAGTCTTCTATTTTTTGTTTGAATAAAAATTCAAAATAGAAAGCAAGAGTAATATCAGAGGGGCCTAGAGACATGACTGATGAACAAAGAAAATGTTATTTTAGAGCCAGGAATGTCTGCATTGTTCATTCTGGACCTTATTTTGACATTGTTATATTTTTTAATTTTCGTGAAATTGGCCAAGTTGCAAATTTCTGACCACATTATTGGGTAGTTGAAATCGGTAAATGGGCAGTTTCTTGTACTCAATCGATAGAAAAAATTAAGTTCTAAAGAAGTAGCTATGACTTTGGTCGACTGGCACAAAGGAATTAGCCGAAAATAGGGCTCAAGTGGGCGAAATCGCCGATTTGTCAATATCGCCGGGGTCGCTAACTTCGCGAGAGCATAATTCCGTCAGTTTTCCATCAAATTTCGTTTTTTTAGTGTCATTACAATCGGGAAAAGATTCTCTATCATTTCATAAGAGAATAATTTTTTTTTTTTTTTTTGACATTTTGCGACACCAGGAGACACCTCAGGATTGGGGGTTGCGACAGTCAAGGGGTTAATACAGACATATCTCGCTAATATGGCAGGTTAGGTTCCAGACCGCCACTGTAGAGCGAATATTGCCTTAAAGCAAATCACAGCCTTTTTTTCACTAGCCATTGCATATACGTATATCTTAAAACATGTTTACACTATCATTTATAAAGTGCACAATAGAACTAGGCCTTAAAAAATGATGTGAAAGTAAAAATAATAAATAAAGACAATTTGAAAATTACCAAAAATCATCTTAGAGCAAAGCAAGCACCAAAAATAATAAATGTGAATACAATTGAAAAGTGCCATATTAGCAAAGTGCTCTAAAGAAAGTGCCATATTAGCAAAGTGCTCTAAAGAAAGTGCCATATTAACGAGGCATGCCTGTATCACTGTAGCTAAAAAGAATTACAATATTACAAAGGGTCATTATTCCAAAAGTAGGCAATTCAATTCATACACACTGCAAATTTTGAGCAATGGATTAAGGTGCTGTTAAGGTGGCCAACAATCATTTAATAATGAGAGCTTTCACAAATTTAACAATACTTTTGACAATTAAAATAACAGGTTTCAAAAATATATAAATATAACACAAAAAATTCTGTGAAGTATATGACCAAGTAAACATTTCAAGGCTTCTTACCATATTTCTCTCTGTTTTCTAGTAATAAAATATATTCCTAATCTTTATTACAATTATGTTACAACCTATGCTGTTCATTGATATTTATTTGATATATTAAAATGAATAATGCTCAAAAAAAAGTTACAGTTGTGTAGATGCATACCATATGTACCTATGGGGATCATCCCATGTAGTGTCTAATAGTTAAACACTGTATACAATACCATAATGATACTTAATTTTATACTTATCCACAAAGTATACAGGAATATTAATCACATAAATTTTATCCATAAAATATATTGTATATTGTGTATAGAAAATATGTATAATATCACTCAGGTAAATGAGGTACACAGTCCTAGTGTGACCTCACTGCCTTAACAGTATGGTGCATACTCTTGCCTTCCCCTCCTTCCTCACTAGTGGTTGCCATGGATAATGTCAGATGACAGCATATTAACCAAAAAAAAAAAAAAGATCTGACAGAAAAACAAAATTTTTAATTATCACATATGGGATATCACTCAAAGAAAATGGCACATGTATACGTATATACCTTTTCATTAAATAAACTCGCTCTTAACAATGGGATTTACATGATACACATATCAAGATTCAGGGAAACCGGTTATTTTCATATAGTCGGACTTGAGTCCTGGAAATGGGAAGTACAATGCCTGCACTTTAAAGGAGGGGTTTGGGATATTGGCAGTTTGGAGGGATATGTTGTGTATCTTTATATGTATATGCTTCTAAACTGTTGTATTCTGAGCACCTCTGCAAAAGCAGTGATAATGTGTGAGTGTGGTGAAAGTGTTGAATGATGATGAAAGTATTTTCTTTTTGGGGATTTTCTTTCTTTTTTGGGTCACCCTGCCTTGGTGGGAGACGGCCGACTTGTTGAAAAAAAAAAAAAAAAAAAAAAACATATCAAGTTGCCAAAATAACTCACAATTTTTAAACAGGTTTGATAAAATATGCCATTTTTTATAACACTTGGTTTGAATGAATCTACTGACCACTTTGATATATACAGTACTTTGAAAAGCTACACAGAAAAAAAAAAAAAAAAAAAAGCATTCACCAAACTGAAGGGAAGGGAATAACAAAAAAAAAGGCACAATACTGTGACTGGAACGATACACAAATAACCCAGCACATAAAAGAGAGAAGCTTATGACGACGTTTCGGTCTGGCTTGGACCATGGTCCAAGTTGGACCGAAACGTCGTCATAAGCTTCTCTCTTTTATGTGCGAGTTATTTGTGAAGGGAAGGGATATGGGAAAAGATACTTCCATACATTAATGAAGAAGTCTTTCCAGATTTCAAAACAAAATATTGAACTTGTAAACCTGCCCATTCTAGAGGTACTGGTTAATAATTTGGCTAATTCCATTCTGTCCATTTACTGTGGATTTAGAACAGCTCAGTAATATTAACACATCAGATCAACATTAGCAAAAAGACATTTTTTTTTTTTCAACAAGTCGGCCGTCTCCACCGAGGCAGGGTGACCCAAAAAAGAAAGAAAATCCCCAAAAAGAAAATGCTTTCATCATCATTCAACACTTTCACCACACTCACACATAATCACTGTTTTTGCAGAGGTGCTCAGAATACAACAGTTTAGAAGCATATACGTATAAAGATACACAACATATCCCTCCAAACTGCCAATATCCCAAACCCCTCCTTTAAAGTGCAGGCATTGTACTTCCCATTTCCAGGACTCAAGTCCGACTATATGAAAATAACCGGTTTCCCTGAATCCCTTCACTAAATATTACCCTGCTCACACTCCAACAGATCGTCAGGTCCCAAATACCATTCGTCTCCATTCACTCCTATCTAACACGATCACGCACGCTTGCTGGAAGTCAGCCCCTCGCCCACAAAACCTCCTTTATCCCCTCTCTCCAACCCTTTCGAGGACAACCCCTACCTCGCCTTCCTTCCCCTATAGATCTATATGCTTTCCATGTCATTCTACTTTGATCCATTCTCTCTAAATGACCAAACCACCTCAACAACCCCTCTTCTGCCCTCTGACTTATACTTTTATTAACTCCACACCTTTTCCTAATTTCCACACTCCGAATTTTCTGCATAATATTTACACCACACATTGCCCTTAGACAGGACATCTCCATTGCCTCCAACCGTCTCCTCGCTGCTGCATTTACCACAGTATATAATTTTTCTGTAAAAAATTGCTTTGTAATATGCAATAAAAAGTTAACTCTTTAAATTTTATATTTTAGTAATACAACGTATGTACAGTGGAACCTCAAATATCGAACTTTCTTTGGTCCAGAAGGCTGTTTGAGTGCCTTTACCGAATGAATTTATTTCCCATGAGGAATAATGTAAATTAGGTTAGTCCATTTCAGACCCTCAAAAATACACTTATAAAAGCACATACAAAAATACACTTACATAATTGGTTGTGTTGGGAGCAGTTCGATTTTTGAGGTTCCACTGTATCTCCCTTCCCCCTTCTCTCTCATTTTCATAAAATCTACTCCTTTCATCACATTTCATGCAGTATTATATCTTCCAGCACTGGCAAAGACAAAATACACATACTGAAGAGGCACTCAATTTTGTTGACAAAGGTGAAACATCAGATCCCTCAGTAGTTCTGTAATTTCCTAATCCAAACAGGGCAAACTTAAGAATGAATACAAACTCATAAATCCATAGCAGAGGATATATTATATGCATAAATTCATGTAAGGGTCTAGGCAGAGTACAATATTTTAGAGAACATTTCATTACTAAGCATCACATTTTGGAAAGGAGGCATTAGATATTACTTCAGTCCATCTTGGATCATTGTCAATTTGTGGCAGTGGTCCAGAATGGACTCAAACGTTGTCTAGAATTTCCTTTCAAAACTGTGGGTACAGTAATAACAAACTGTTTCAACCATGTTAATGTGACTTTTATTATTCAGAGAAGTACTTTATCTTTGTTTACAATGCAATGTAGCAGTAAATTACATTTGCTGAAGTGGCTGGAGCTGAGAGTAAAACAATTATGTACAAGGAACCAACTCTGCTATGCAGCAATTTCTACTTCTGCAACTGAATCTTAACAAAAGATAATGCACAAGCAAGTATGTTTGGAATATGAACTCACCATGCAATGTATGAGTGAATTTGCTCAGAATATAAAACTTGCCATGCATGCATGAGTGAGTTTGCAGTCACAAAAGCATCAGTGACCAGTGCTAAATAACAAAGTAAAACAGAAAGCAGCTGACTGCTTACATGTTACCTACTTTCCCACTCCATTTAGTAAGAAGTTATGGGCATTACCCAGGGAAGTTTATCCAGGTCAACATTACCTCCACACAGTATAACTCCAACTTTTCGTGCCTTTGGTTGCACCTCGCCTATTAGCTTGACTGCAGCATAGACACCTGCTCCGGATGCTGCCTCAATGACTTGCTGTGGAAAGTGAAAAAGAATGTTGTCACTGCTACTTCTGTACACATATGAAGACCAATACAGTGATACCTTGGGATACAAATTATTTTAGTTCCAGAAGGCTGTTCGAGTGCTGATACCAAACGAATTTGTTCCCATAAGGAATAATGCAAATCAGATTAATCTGTTTTAGATCCCAAAAAATGCACTTACAGAAGCACTTACATAAATACACTTACATAATTATTTGAGTTTTGAGCTGTTTGTATCCCGAGGTACCACTGTATATCAAGACATATACACTGAAAAATATGGTGCCACAACATTTAAATAGTATGGAATGATGTGTCAAAATATGTCCGGAGACGAGGAACATGGTGTCAAGAGACTGTCCAAATGCTTTGCATATCAAGGGGCTTTCTATACTGTACTAATATATGTCAATCACCCTAATTATATACATGTATATACTGTATTTCACTTTATAGAAATAAGGTTTGCTTGTTTTGTTTGTTAGATAATAAGGAAAAGGTTGCATAGAAAATGGGAAACAAGGTATCAAAAGTCAGTAAAATACAATATATAAAAGAACATAATTATTGAGAGACTGGAATTCAAATAGTATACTATTGCATTTTCATGTGAATACTTTTTGTATCTTAAAAGTTTCCCACTTTTTTAAGTGATGTGAAGTAATACAATTTTTCAAATCATATTTATATGAGGTTGCTTTTAGTTAACATAATTTTGGAAATGTGACCTTTCATGAATGAAACGGATAAAACAAGTCATAATATTACAAAAATAAAGGAGACCATGTTTTACAGCGCTGCTGTAACAGCATTTTAGTATATGCAGGGTTTTCAATTAACACATTCTTTCTTATTCAGATTCCCAATTAAATTATTTTCACTTAATAAAAGGACAAAAATATTTAAGGTAAGTAATTTTTTTTTTTTTTTTTTTTCTATACGTCGGCCGCTCCAACAGAAGTAGGGTGACCCAAAAAATAAAGAGCCCATTAAAGAATACTTTACACATTTATCAACTTTCCCCACTCGCACATTATCACATGTTTTCGAGTGTGTATGTATTCGTATATGCATTATTAGGCCTAGCTTCATTGCTCACTTAAGATAAAAACTAGTTGTAAACATGGTTATGCTTGTTATATGCATTTGAAGTGGAAAAAAGGCTATTTTCACTTTACAGTGATTTCACTTCACAGCATTTTCACATTTACAGTGATTTTCACTTTACAGCAGTAGACTTGAACCTAACCTGCTGCACAAGCAGGGCCTTCATGTACTTGTATTTTATGGAGTACTGTACTGTAATCAAATAATCTAAATATTAAATGAAATAGAAAAAGTGCTCAAGTATAATTAATTTCTTTCCAGAACCAGCTTTGTACATGAAATATGTGAAACAAATAGCACCATAAGTTCACATCATAATAACAGGTTATATTCTGAAAAAAACTGGTTAAGTATGGCAAATTTCTTTTCTAAATGAGTCATAAAATTTAAAATTTCCTGTTTGGTCTTATCTTCTTTTTTACTATTTTTATTAATGTGCCATAACATAAGAAATTTCTATTCTTTGAAAACTGAAGCAGTGCTGAATGACCTTTATGGGCTCAGCCCTTGGCATGTTTATATTAAGAGAAATTAAAAAACTGGATTCTCAGAATTGTAATTTTTTTTTTTCAGTGGACCAGCTGCATCTCACCGAGGCAGGGTGACCTAAAAGAAAAATGAAAGTTTCTCTTTTTAAATTTAGTAATATGTACAGGAGAAGGGTTTAGAATTGTAAAACATAGTATTTAAAAAAGGTAAACTTCTCGAATCATTCACTGACCTTCATGCGTTCAAAGGTAAGTTTCATGCCTTCAATCATTTGATCATCAGTCACTGTGAAGACTCTGGTGTTGGTATACTCACAGATGATGGGGAATGCTAGATGACCAACCTTGATAAGCAAAAAACAATTAAAAACAGGTTACAGTAGGTCTCCGACTCACAAAGTTATGACTTACAATGTTCCATACTTATGATGCCAAAACTTTGGAATCGACTAATTACTTAGGAATGCTGATCTGCAATTACTGCAGTCAGAAATGATTTTAATTAAATAATTTGTTCACAGTCATTTTTACTAAATGCATACATACTGTGTGTGTGTTCTTATTATGTAAAGTATGTACAGAGAACTCACATTTATTTGACCGACTGGTCAAGACTATAACCTGTTAATATTGAGTAGTTATAACCCTAGTTTAAACCTGTCCAAAATGTTGTGCATACTATGGGCTATTCATAAAATAAATTGAAAATTTGGTGTCTGAATATTTGCAATGATCGTAAATGACTATCAGTGTTCTTAAGTAATTAATGAGTTTCAGAGTGCAATTATCATCAATGCAAAACATCATAAGTTGGAAGATTGTAAGTTGAGAGCCTACTGTATATGCCATACCATATGTGCTTCTTCCCAGCATGGTATATAGTGTACAGTATACTATATTGTACTACAAATAATACTGTATACTTATTGTTTCTATAATGGCATACCTTATGGAACCACATGTCACCCTTCTGCACAAACATTACATCATGTTGAAACAAATAAATAAATAAAAACTAAAAATAAATAAATATACAGCTATTTATCCTGATTTTATATTAAAATATTAATTTTCTTTGGAAGTAAAACAGTGAAAAAATGGTAGAATTAATTATTGAGATTAATTCTACCATTTTTGACATTCTTACTGCCTGCAGCCTCATGGAGTCTGCCACAGTGTTGAGGAAGGTTGGTGGATCTGACCACAGCCGCTGCTTTGCCTCAAGACATCTCTGAAGGTTCTTACCAACTGGCTCTACAGCATACACTGCAGTAATGAACAAAACAAAACAACTCAAACATCTGGGGAGAGTGAAGCCAGAATATTAGCATTCATACAATGTAAGCAGAATTCATGGACTAATTGTAAATGCAATATCTTAATTGGCTATTGGCTAAGGTATTTTTTTTTACACACCTAACCATCTCCCACCAAGTAGGGTGACCCAGAAAAGAAGAAACTCTTTCACCATGATTCACTACATCACTGTCATGCCAAAGGCACACCGACATTACAGCTCAGATGCCCATCCAAACGGCACCATCCCCACACCTCCTTCAGAGTACAGGCACTGTACTTCAAACCTCCAGGATTTGAGGTCTGGCTAACCAATTTCCCTGAAGCCCTTAATATGTGTTACCTTGCTTACACTCCAACAGTATGGCAAATCATAAAAACCATTTGCATCCATTCACTCCTAACACACACACACACACACACACACACATTTAATTATTATAATAATTTTTATTATTCATGAGAAGTGCTAAACCCATTAGGATTATACACTGTCTGAGGAGGGGGGTGGTAATCCAAGTGATCCCAGGAAAAAGAGGGCAGTGTCAATTCCTTGGATCAAGATTCCTTCACCAGCATAAATGGTTAATATGTTATTGATCTACCAGTTTTCCTGTGTATATATGTACTGTATTTCATATCAGGAAACTAAGCTACATCACAATGTCAGTTATCCTCTATCATACATTCCATTAGGCCTTATCTTGTACTTTGGAAGAGCAGTTCATGGTAGTAATGATTTTCCACATACTAGACTATTTTTACATTCCACTACACTGCACCGAAACCAGTGATTATTTAGGCATGTAGTATAGTATATCATGTTTCTTATACAGTAGGTATTGATTATTCACTCCTTTTGAGGACAAGGGTTGGGAGGGTTCAATGAATTTTCAACAACAGCTAATGTTCACATTGTCCATGTATGATCTCTTTGTTTTGCACACTGCTTTTCAGCAGTATCTGTTTAGTTACTTGGTCACACAAGACTGCCAATTAATGTTGGAAACTGAATAAATGATAATTGACAATTTACCACACGTCTCCCCATCCAGCTTCTTCTCTTTAGACAATATGTACAGCTTTGCTTTTTCTATACCCAAATCAATAATCCATCCATGTAACACTTAACAGATATATCTTAGAAAAAATTTCTGTTTGTTTATATTTATATATTTATTCATTTATATACACATGAACATGGATATTAAATACATAAGTGGGCAATTTATTCAACCTTTATTGACTACCAATTATAAAAATAATTTTTTTAATATCCTCAGAACTGTTTGCTTCAAAAACAGGCTTATAGTGAAAGGCTCTTGCTTGATTAATGATGCACTGTATAAATATGTCAATTTTTATTTGTATATGCTAAGACATTTATAAATATTGTATTGTCTGTACAATACAATATTTATAAATGTCATGACACATAAAACTCTCTTAAGAATGTTATACGTAAATATCTTACCCTGACACTTTGGTTGTATTTTTTGTGTGGCTACAGAAACACCAGCCAACATGCCTCCCCCACTAGTGGGAACTACTATTGCATCAAGATCGGGAACCTGAAAATATATTGAAAAAAATTCAAATAACCACATACAGTACCAGCTATTCAGTATTCCAAAAACATCACCAGATGGTAGACAAGTGTAAAAAAATTAATATATTTAAAAATACAGAGATGTTTGGCAGAAAAATTACATTGTATAATTATGTATTTTATTAAGATACCATTTTATCAAAAGGTAAAATCAATATTCCCTCAAGGAGGAGGACGATGCCTTGATTCTGAAGAGCTCTTGCTCAAACAAACTGTATGTAGCCTTGCCTTCCTTGGCTCAAACCTGGTTACCTCACATTCCACAGGTACTGTGTGACCCCTATGGGTTTAGCGCTTTCCCTGTAAATATTCAACGTAGTAAAAATGTGTAGTGCACTTCTGTTTGCTAAACAATTACTGTCTTTTATACCTCATTCTCACAATAATGTACTACAGGTCGACCATCACCACTAATCCAACATATTTGGGATCTGTATAGTGCCGGATTAGTGATTGCCAGATCAGTGATGGCCAACCTGTACTATTTGCCTCCACAGTGTCAACATGTACTGCCAAAATTTGTGTTGGATTTGGGATGGAACTGGACTAGTGTTTATAGGGGGTACAGCGAAATGGACCAGAAGCAAGCTTATCTTTTTTCATACACAGAAAGAAAAGAATTAATGTATATGAGAGATAATAATTTTAAAAAGTAGAAAAGCTGGCAGTTCTTTAAAGCCTAAGAGAAAGCCATGAACTGCTTCCCACCAGTGAAAAAGTGATAATTCTCCACTTGCTGTGCATAATTTTTCAATTAAATTTTATAATATGTATGTAGTATAGGACTTGTATATACGTAGTATAGGGTTTGCTACTATCCACGGTTTCAGTATTCACAGCAGGTCCTTGGAATGCATCCCCCACAAATATGCAGGTTCCTACTATATAGTACAGTGCTGTGCATAATGCTTTATGCTAAAACTTCACAACATGGAAGCGTCTCAAGCACTTAACAACAGTATCATACCTCATTCAAAAGTTCTAGTGCAATGGTCCCTTGTCCGGCTATCACATCATAATTGTCAGATGAATGAATTATTGTTCTACCAGTTTCTTCTGCTACTGAGGCACATGTCTTGACCCTGAAAACAAGACAATCACATGTAGATAAATGATTCAAAGAACCGAAAAGTTGATAAACCAGAAACATTATCTTTACTGTGGAAATGTTTCACCACACAGTGGCTTCATTGGTCCAATACAAAGAAGAATAGTGAAGATCAGAAGAAAATTAAGGTAATCAGTGCCTCAGTCTAGAGTCGATATTATTAGTCCATCAAAACTGATGGATATGGCAAAACATTTCCACAATAAAAATACCCAAGTGTTGCATATGTATCTAATTTATCAAGACAATTACATGCATGCATTTGTGTTCATGCACACAGAAAATATTAGGTAATTTTTTTTTTTAACAAGTCGAACGTCTCCCACCGAGGCAGGGTGACCCAAAAAGAAAAAAAATCCCCAAAAAGAAAATACTATCATCATCATTCAAACACTTTCACCTCATTCACACATAATCACTGTTTTTGCAGAGGTGCTCAGAACACAACAGCTTAGAAGCATATACGTATAAAAATACACAACATATCCCTCCAAACTGCCAATATCCCAAACCCCTCCTTTAGAGTGCAGGCATTGTACTTCCCATTTCCAGGACTCAAGTCCAGCTATATAAAATAACCAGTTTCCCTGAATCCCTTCACTAAATATTACCCTGCTCACACTCCAACAGCTCGTCAGGTCCCAAACACCATTCGTCTCCATTCACTCCTATCTAACACGCTCATGCACGCTTGCTGGAAGTCCAAGCCCTTTGCCCACAAAACCTCCTTTACCCCCTCCCTCCAACCTTTTCAAGGATGACCCCTACCCGCCTTCCTTCCCCTACAGATTTATATGCTCTCCATGTCATTCTACTTTGATCCATTCTATCTAAATGACCAAACCACCTCAACAACCCCTCTTCAGCCCTCTGACTAATACTTTTATTAACTCCACACCTTTTCCTAATTTCCACACTCCGAATTTTCTGCATAATATTTACACCACACATTGCCCTTAGACAGGACATCTCCACTGCCTCCAACTGCCTCCTCCCAGCATTCAAAACCAGCTCATATAAGAGTGTTTGTACTACTATACTTTCATACATTCCCTTCTTTGCCTCCATAGATAATATTTTTTGTCTCCACATATACCTCAATGCCCCACTCACCTTTTTTCCTTCATCAATTCTATGATTAACCTCATCCTTCATAAATCCATCCGCTGACACGTCAACTCTCAAATATCTGAAAACATTCACTTCTTCCATGCTCCTCCTCTCCAATTTGATATCCAATTTTTCTTTATCTAAATCATTTGATACCCTCATCACCTTACTCTTTTCTATGTTCACTTTCAACTTTCTACCTTTACACACACTCCCAAATTCGTCCACTAACCTTAGCAATTTTTCTTTAGAATCTCCCATAAGCACAGTATCATCAGCAAAAAGAAACTGTGTTACTTCCCATTTGTGTTTGATTTCCCATAATTTAATCACACCCCTCTCCTGAACACCCTAGCATTTACTTCTTTTACAACCCCATCTATAAATATATTAAACAACCATGGTGACATTACACATCCCTGTCTAAGACCTACTTTTACTGGGAAGTAATCTCCCTCTCTTCTACACACCCTAACCTGAGAATCACTATCCTCATAAAAACTCTTTACAGCATTTAGTAACTTACCACCTATTCCATATACCTGTAACATCTGCCACATTTCTCCCCTATCCACTCTATCATATGCCTTTTCTAAATCTGAAACAATTGTTTTTTTAAGTTCACTGGAAATCTTTTACTATGCATGACATTCCAAACACTTTTCAATATGGATACAACTACTGGCATTCAGTCATCTGAGCACCAGTTTGAAGGAATGTGTAATGTTCAAGGTATTGTGTTTGGAGTTATGGAAATAAAATATAATTCTTCTTTCAACAAACTGGCTGTATCCCACCAAGGCAGGGTGGCCCAAAAGAAAAAACAAAAGTTTCTCCTTTTAAATTTAGTAATATATATACAGGAAAAGGGGTTACTAGCCTCTTGCTCCCGGTACATGTATTTTAGTCGCCTCTTACGACACCCATGGCTCATGGAGGAAGAATTCTGTTCCACTTTCCCATGGAGATAAGAGGAAATAAACAAGAACAAGAACTAGGAATAAAATAGAAGAAAACCCAGAGGGGCATGTGTATATATATGCTTGTCTATGCATGTGCAGTGTTACCCAAGTGTAAGTAGATGTAGCAATATCGTACCTGAAATCATGCATGTATATGAGACAGAAAAAAGACACCAGGAATCCTACCATCATGTAAAACAATTACAGGCTTCTGTTTCACACTTTCTTGGCAGGATGGTGTGCCTCCCTGGGTGGATGCTGTCTACCAACCTGCTACCTGCCATATTTTCTTCTCAAGCTTTAAAGTGCATAGTGTATTGGGCAGCAATCAGCTTTTGGTTGTTGCCTCATAAGAAAATTATTTTTATCATATTATACAAAAACTTACCTCGGTGGGACACAACCCGAACATTAAAAAAAATACAGTACATGTAAAATGTTGAGTAACTGTACTGTATGACTTAACAAAGGATGTAGTACTCACCTGTTATATTCACCCAGCATTTTACCTCATGTGATAATTACAGAAAACCCCGAGTTACACACCTTATCTGAGCTTGATCTATGCCATGTGTTAGGCCAGCTAAATCACTATTCACACCTTGTGTCCATTAATGCAAATTTAATACTCTACACTCTACATGGACAATAAAAGTTATTTTGTCATGCTTTTGCTAGTATTTTATTAATTTTCATTAGTTTAAAATGATAAAAAGTGATTAAATTTAGACTTACTTTAAAAGCATTAAAAACTTCTTAATTCTATTAAGAAGATTTTGTCATGGCTTTGCTAGTATTTTATTAATTTTCATTAGTTTAAAATTATAAAAAGTGATTAAATTTAGACTTATTTTAAAAGCACTAAAAACTTTTTAATTCCATTAAGCCATTTTGACCATTTCTAATGTGTGCTAGAAGGATGATCAAGTATCAATTAAAAGAAAAAAGTACAGTGATTCACTTCATATCAAAGGTTTTATTTTTACATTCAAATGGTAAAAATGTGCCAATTTATTTTACTGGCATGAGATCTGATTTTTTATTCAAAGCACTATAAGACTATTATAATTCCCAGTCAAAGCTAAATTAAATTTCATATGATACATATTAATTAAAATATTCTAGGGTTTTATCATTTAAACAGAAAATATATAAGGGTGAGTAAAGATAATAATCCCTCAATTTGTCCAAATTAATTAACAATTACTAAGAACATACAATGAACATAATGTGAGAATATATACTTTAAGAACATACACTTTAAGAGCACACAGTGTATGTAATGAGGTAAAATATAATGTTGAATGAACTATATACCTGGATACCGGTGTGGGGTTGCAGAACACAAGCTCAGCCCCATAGCTGCAGATGGCATCACATTTAACTTTAGGAGTACCCTTGGGGACAACCACAGTGCATGGCAAGCCTAAACACACTGTTAGTGAAAAAAAAAATTATGTATATAAATGTGGGAAATGTAAAAAAATAACTTTAAAATTAATTTTTATTAAGAAGCGTACAGTTGGCCATCCAAATTTATTAGGTTCCTAATTCGCAGAGTTCAATTAGCTTGTGTTTTTGCTGAAGGTGGCAAATGAATAAATTCAATTATTTGTGACTTTTCTCACAAAATCCATTATTTTCAGGCCTGGTGCATGACAACAAAACTGACAATGACCCTCTGGATTTTGTTCAAATTTCTCTCAATAGTCTTTCTGTTCCTGAATTGCTTCTCTATCTGATCATTCTTATGAATTTCAATATCAGACTAGAAAAATGTTGAAAGATGGGGACTCTGAAACACGAACTGAACACAAATCATTTTCAATAGTCTGAATGCACAAGATAATTCGTACAGATTCATTTACAACAAATGGACATAGTAGTATTTTAACAGAGTAATATTTTAACATCTATTATTCTATCTCAGCTTATTTCAAAGCCCAGCCCCATCCAAGGTATAGTATTTCCTCCTCCCAGGATTTCACTCACATATTTACTGTTTTGTGAACAGGGGCAACAGGTGTAAGGAAACATGCTTTGTGCCTTAAGTCACTCCAGGATTGAGCCTGGGCCCTTCAATTGTAAAGAAAGCACTACAAAATGTGTTTTAAAAACAACTTATAACCAATTATGACTTACTTGCAGCATATGCAACAGCTTGGGCATGATTACCACTGCTGTGAGTGACTACTCCTGCACTATCTGGATTACGTTCCTTTTCAAGAAACACCTGAAAATGGAAAATAAACTGAAAATCCAGGAGATTAGTTTTTGCAAGCATCAGGGCACACCTTAAGGATTGAATATTGGAAGTACAATAAATGCCTGATCTAGCTGACTAATAGGGGGAAGGGGGAGGTTTATTTAGTTACAGGTACACATAAATACAATTATTATACATAGTGTAAATTACCTAGGATAACCCATTAAAGCTGGCTGTGTTAAATTTAAATTATGAAAGTATTTTTCCATGACAGACAATGGTGATGAATAAGACACATGTGCAACAGTTGGGTATCTTTAATGGTGATTATAATCGTGAGGAGCACTAAACCTGTAGAGTTATGCAGCATGCATGGGTGACCCATGGCCTGGTGGCTCAAGCTCTCACTTCACATGGCAAGGGTCTGGGTTCGATTCATAGCGAGGGTAGAAATATTGGGCGTGTTTCTTTATATTGGTTGTCTATGTTCACCCATCAGTAAAAAATGGGTACCTGGGTGTTAGTCAATTGGTGTGGGTCGCATCCTGGGAACAAAACTGACCTAATCTGCCCAAAATGCTCTGCATAACAAGGGGATTTCTATATAGTAATATGTCATTGATGTCAGCTAGGCCTGTATACCTTGTACATGTACTTGTAAAAATAAAGATATTATTACTATTATTATTATCCAGGCTCAATTCAGGGAACCAGAGCACTGATCCAATTCCCTAGATCAAGAGCCCCTCACCAGTGTCAAAAAACCTCCCTTAACCCTTAAATGATCCAAACAAATCAGAGTTCAAATTCGTAGTGCTACAAAATAGATCTACTTTTTTTTTACATATTTTCAAATGTAACAAAAAAAAAATGTAGATAAAAGTTTTTTTTACACGTTTTCAAATGTAGAACAAAAAAAAAAAGATCTACATTTTTTTACATACTTTCAGATGTTGAAAAAACGTATATATACGTTTGGACCATTTAAGGGTTAAGGGGTTTAATGGTGAAACATTTTGCCTATACAGTAGGCTTCTTTAGTCAAATGCAGTCAGGTGTAGTAGCGAAGTAAAAACAATGTAATCAGTTCATCAACCTTTAAGAATATTATTTGAGGTGGTCAGTCCCTCAGTCTAGAGAAGAGTTTTGCTCCATAGTCTGGGGTGATAGACTTATTACATCGTCCTTACATCTCTACTGTTTATGCTCGCTCTTTTGTTTTCAAGTGAAGAAGCCTACTGTGTAGGTGAAACATTTCGGAATAGATACTTATCTGTTGCACGTGTCTTGCTTATCAACCTGTCGGTATACCATTTAAATATTTAAAGCATTTATGTGTACCTATACCTGAATAAACTTACTTATAAACCAGTAGGGGTTACATAACTAAAGTGATGATGAACTATGTACATGATCTTGTTATAATCATAATGAGTTACTTAGGCAGACATGAACTCAAGTCACAAAAATATTAGTGTAGCTTATATGCAGTTTGGAACTGTCACCATATATCTCAGCAGAAAAAGGGAGCTGATGTATGGCGCCCCAAATTGCTCAGCGACAGAGTGGCGATTATATACCTGCTGCTCAGGGCATAGATGGGTGAAATATGAAACACATGTGCATTATAATTATGGGAGCGCTAAACCCGTAGGATTATATGGCGTACGTGGGGAGATGGGAAGGTATTCAGGCTCAATTCAGGGAACCAGAGCACAGATCCAATTCCCTAGATCAAGATCCCCTCACCAGCGTCAAGGAACCTCCCTTAAGAGGACACGTGCAGTATTTGAATATTTGATTACGGAAACATTTCGCCACGAATGGCTTCTTTAATGCTTCCCCATTTATATAAAAAATACTATCCAATGCAATCATTCCCCTCCCTTTCTGTTGCTTCATTCATCAGACTGCCAAAAAGTGTCTGATGAATGAAGCAACAGAAAGGGAGGGGAATGATTTTCTATTTTTTAGCTAAAATACGTGTAAATTTTACCTTATCCCTAGTAATGACCCTCGTATTGTAGATAGTCGTAATGACCCTCGGGTAGTAGATAGTCTTAATGACCCTCGTATTGTAGATAGTCTTAATGACCCTCGTGTAGTAGATAGTCTTTTTAGTATGATAATAAGATGTTATCTTCATTATAGAATAATAAGAAAATATTATAACCTTTATATTATAATAATAAGGTAAAAGGACCCCAATGGAAATAAGTCACTCTGTCTGACTTTTTTGGGTTATCCTAGGTTCTCTACACATATGCTGCTATGTATGATAATTCTATGTAACTGTATTGTGTATACCTGAATAAATTTACTTACTTACTTACTTATATTCGTGAACTTGAGCAGTAACAGAGCTGAAGAAGCCATTCGAGGCGTAACGTTTCCACAAATAAAAGATCCTAATATTGCGCATTATTTCACATATGTAAGTATCATGTACTGACAAATGTTTGACATGAAGATCCCAGCAAGGGCGGAGGTGCAGTTCCCAACACAATCTGTGAAGACTACCAAGGTAAGGCCACTGAACATGTAACCATAATATGTAAACATAGTGCATGTAAACAAACAGTTGTGGTCACAAGTATGTTATCGTACATCTGCTGAAAGGTATTTTTATACGTTTGCTATCCTGTCGTACCATAAATCTACTATAATTGAAAAATCGTTGTTGTAAAACAAAATTATATATATATATATATATATTATATATATAATATATATATATATATATATATATATTATATATATATATATATATATTATATATATATATATATATATATATATATATATATATATATATATATATATATATATTATATATATATATATATATATATATATATCTTTTCTTTCAACACACCGGCCGTATCCCACCGAGGCGGGGTGGCTCAAAAGGAAAAACGAAAGTTTCTCCTTTTACATTTAGTAATATATACAGGAGAAGAGGTTACTAGCTCCTTGCTCCCGGCATTTTAGTCGCTTCTTACAACACGCATGGCTTACGGAGGAAGAATTCTGTTCCACTTCCCCATGGAGGTAAGAGGAAATAAACAAGAACAAGAACTAGAAAGAAAATAGAAGAAAACCCAAAGGGGTGTGTATATATATGCTTGTACATGTATGTGTAGTGTGACCTAAGTGTAAGTAGAAGTAGCAAGACATACCTGAAATCTTGCATGTGTATGAGACAGATAAAAAAAGACACCAGCAATCTACCATCGTGTAAAACAATTAAGGCTTCAGTTTTACACTCACTTGGCAGGACGGTAGTACCTCCCTGGCGGTTGCTGTCTACCAACCTATATATTTTATATATATATTTTATATATATATATTATATATATATTATATATAATATATATATATATATATTATATATTTTTCTTAGGTAGTAGGTTGGTAGACAGCAACCACCCAGGGAGGTACTACCATCCTGCCACGTGAGTGTAAAGCGAAAGCCTGTAATTGTTTTACATGATGGTAGGATTGCTGGTGTCTTTTTTCTGTCTCATGAACATGCAAGATTTCAGGTATGTCTTGCTACTTCTACTTACACTTAGGTCACACTACACATACATGTACAAGCACATATATACACACCCCTCAGGGTTTTCTTCTATTTTCTTTCTAGTTCTTATTCTTGTTTATTTCCTCTTATCTCCATGGGGAAGTGGAACAGAATTCTTCCTCCGTAAGCTATGCGTGTTGTAAGAGGCAACTAAAATGCCGGGAGCAATGGCTAGTAACCCCTTCTCCTGTATATATTACTAAATTTAAAATGAGAAACTTCTGTTTTTCTTTTTAGGGCCACCCTGCCTCAGTGGGATACGGCCGGTGTGTTGAATGAAAGAAAGAATATTATATTTTATATATATATATATATATATATATATATATATATATATAATATATATATATATATAATATATATAATATATATATATATATATATATATATATATATATATATATATATATATATATATATATATATTTTATATATATATATATATAATGAGAGAGAGAGAGAGAGAGAGAGAGAGAAGAGAGAGAGAGAGAGAGAGAGAGAGAGAGAGAATGAATACACACTGTGGAGCGTCCGGAAATCCCCCTGATTGAGCAACTTACAACAGCAACTGTATGACCGTGAAGCTCACAAACTCCTACACCAACAGTCGTCGCTTTCAGTTTCTAAACCCAATCAACAAATTTAATTTTTTCCTAGATATATCTAGCCTTTTGGAAATTCTTTAAGAGGACGGTCCTAAACCATTTTCTGAGTAGAATATTTCTCAACCCTCAGATGCATGGCTTTATATATTAATGAGTTTAGATTTGGCGTATCTATTCTCGTAATAATAATAATAATAATAATAATAATAATAATAATAATAATAATAATAATAATAATAATAATAATAATAATAATAAATTCTTTTCGTAGTAAGTTCTTATCGTATTTCAGTCTTCAGACTACTGGTTGACGCCCAGTTATAAGCTACTTCCTTCTTGAAGACATCACCATTCCCAGTTCATCAGTTCTATTATGTTTTTGAAGGCCAGCGTGAGAGGGAATCCACTAAAGGTTCACTTTGACTCTGGTGCTGCTATAACATCTGACTGCCAACTAGTCTGAGGACAGTTTAGTTTAATATCATTATATTATGTACCCCATACCCTTCCTGTGGGTGGTAGTCAAAAAATTACAGAGGTACATAATGTCCCCAAAGTTTTCATAGCTGAACAAGGTACAAAGGCAATAAACTCAAAAGTTACAAAGGCAATGAATCATGATGACAACAATACAGAAAGAAGCCTAAATCAATTTATTAACCACCTAATACAAGGCATGGTTAACGACAGTCAATCCATCTATCATCATTCTAGTATGTATTGTGCATCTCTGTAATCTTTTGGCTACCCCGCAGAGGATGGGTATGGGGTGCATAAAAAACTATTAAAGCAACATTTATTCTAGTTTGACTGCTTCATTATGCATGTCATACCCATGCTGTAGAGGAAACCAAAAGATTAAAAAGGCATATAATAGGTCCTGGAACATGGTCTTATGATTTCGTTTGGCCCCTCAAGGAAGGTTCCTTGTTGTTGGTGAGGGGCTCTTGATTTAGGGAATTGGATCTGTGCTCCGGTTCCCTGAATTAAGCCTGAATGCCTTCCACATCCCCCCCCCCAGGCGCTGTATAATCCTCTGGGTTTAGCGCTTCCCCCTTGAATATAAGAATATCATTATTGTAAATAAGACTTACAATGCAGGTTATGACATTTTAATATGAAGACGTTTCGTCCACCAGAGAGTTTATTAGTTTACAGGTGAACTGTTCTGTGTCTTATTTACACACAGTTTACTCTACCATTGTATTACCGCCTGGTAATACACCAATACCACCTGATAGAGACCTAAGCCAAATTAATTAAACTCTGTCAGCTGAACTTTTTTCACATGCGTTTCCCCATGAATGCAATAATAATAACCACTATTGTAGTTTCCTTGGCAGAAACTCTTGGCCCAGTCACTTAATTTTTTTTATATTTTATTTAAAACTTCACGCATATTCACTTAATTAGCCCACTGGATAGGCTATCAAATCGATCGTGTTCTGAACTATTCCAAGACCTGGAACTGCCTTATGCACCCACATTCCGTAAAGACACGTTTCGCTCAGTGGCGAGCTTTATCATAACGTTACGGCTTTATAAAGCTCAGCAATAAGTGTAACGCACATAGGGAAAAAAAAGCTCTACTCGAGTTATTTGTGTATTATTCCAGTCATGATACTGTGTCTTCGTGTTGTATTTACCTCACTTCGTCAGTACCCTTTACCAGTCAAACCAGTCACATACCGCATTACAAGCCCCTCGGGCCTTAAAGGAGCCTGTCTTCTGAAGATGCTCTGCCTTGAAGAAAAGTTGCCTGCCTGCGAGGACGTCCACAGAGTGAGAGGTGAGGACAGGAGTGGTGTGGAGGAAGTGTTGTATCCTGAGGGCAGCTGCTCGCACATCCCGGAGTTCAACAGGTGTGGATGACATAGCCTTCGTTCGTCTCTTCTACCGCTAACTGCTTCACCTGGAATACAAAAATACAAGATTATTAGCTCGTTTTCCCGGAAGATACACCTGTATAACTGAAAATGATTAACGTGTGTTGTGTTGCATGATTAACGTGTGTTCTGTTGCATGATTAAGCAATGTATTTCGGGCAGCTAAACTTTCAAAAGCCCTGTTCGTACTCGCTATCTCTGGCAAAAAAAGAATTGACTTTATGACTGTGTCAATAGCTCGTTGCTATTGTTCCTTTATAAATAGAATTGTATATACTTCCTTCAGTGTCACTGTAACTTTCTTAGCTTTTAAAAATATTGGAGCCCAGTCCCTGAATCCATTATGTGAAAAAACATGAAAATACCACCCACGGGATGGGTGTGAGATACATTATGAAATTATGAAACTGGCTAATACCCATCACTGAAATATTAGATCAAGTTCTTTTGCAACGCCATTACACTCATTTCATCTCCTGAGCGTAAAGATTGAACGTATTAAAAAGAAATATTGTGTAAATTGGTGAAACTACAGCAGGAGCCAAAAGGCAGCTGAGTGCATATATCCCCTTCAAGAGGGTGCATTGATGCTTTTGAAGGGCTCTTGATCTAATGAATTAGAGCTACCCTTTTATTGGATCAAACCTGATTACCTACGCTATTCCAGGCATATATATATATATATATTATATATATATATATATATATATATATATATAATATATTATATATATTATATATATATATATATATATATATATATTATATTATTATATATATATATATATATATATATATATATATATATTATATATATATATTATATATATATATATATATATATAATATTGGAAACTATTTAACAAAAGAGATTATTTCACCACAGCCACACTAGGGTGACGAGGTTATATTGCCTTATCCCATCTCACTGCTCCATTGCAAGAGACAAAATCCTAGTATTCAACAAGTAGTTGACGTTGCAGCCGTGTATCTGAGTGCGTGAGGTGTGTTGCACGGGCCTAGGTACTGCACGTGAGGGCTGGTTATCGCACGGAGGAGTGCCAAGCAGTGCCTCTCACCTCTGCTCACTCGCCACTGGTATTGGCACCTCCACCACCTGGAAACCCACATCCAGGTGAGCATGCGCTTTCCTGCCTTTCCTACATCATGGTTATCACCTGCTCCTCACCTAAATACATGGGAAAGAAAAACTCGGTATTTTAGAGATATCCAGGTTATGCAAACCTCGGTCTGAAGGACGTAATGGCATGCATACTGGGGAAGACAGGTTACAATAGCGGCTTTTATTAAGACATTTTCCCCTCCGGGTAGAGCTCCTTTCTAGAAGGCTGTACTTTGAGTGTAAGATAATCCAAATTAATAGATTTTAGATTTTGCCACCGAAGTGGCTATTGTGCACCCCATATCCAACCTGTGGACGGTAGCGCAAGAGCATATGGATACATAAAAGGCCTAGGAACTAGGCCCCAAAGGGTTAACATCCAAATTAATGGTTGTTCTAGATACTCATGTTTTTGTATTAACCCCTGATGTGGAAAAATAAATTGTGAGTGGTATTGATTGTGGGATTAAAATCAAGATTAAATTATCTTCCTGAGATACCGAGCTTAAACATATGCCTTTTTTCAGTTGTATATATAAAATGCCCTAATGAAACACTGTGACGTCTTTGTACCTCTCGATAATCAAATTTATCATTATTACCTATCTGGATACAAACATGTTGTGATTGTAATTCATCAGGAAAGTGGTGTCTCCCTCTGTGATATATTAAGATAATATGATCATTTCCCCCCCTGAAATTCACCCAGTTCTCACTCCAGCCATGAGACTTACCATGACACAGCGGACAGTCAAAAATTAGGGCTAAAGACCTACAACATTTAAATATTTCGCCAGGTATGTGAAGGATCTGTCCAGAGATTAATTACTCTCACTGTAGACTTAGAATTTAATGATTCGTGTTATATTTGTTAAGTGAGCTAATTTTTTTGTTGTTGTTAGGAAGAGAATATTGACATAAGAGCTAGCAGGGACAGCAGTGCCATCTAGTGAGTCGAGGTAAACTAAGAAGGATGTCTGGTAGAAGTGCTATGGTTATACCGACGAGTTGTAAGGAAAATACACATATGTACTGATCAAAATAATGATTAAGGAAACGTTTCACCTTGATCAGTGCATACATGTCTCTTTGCCTAAGTAGGATGTCTGTCTGGCTAATGTTACATCTAGAATTTCCTTTTTTTTTTTTTGGTATCGTCCTCCATCAAGCACAGTCATCAACAGCAGACATCTTTCATCCTCTCTACCCCCTCCCACATCACTGAGGCATTATGTACTGTAGGTGTGGACGTATCAGTGGCTCATTACTTTGTAATTTGTTCATGACTGTAACCATGTATAGGAGTGAGGCTGATTCATTACCTTTGTAACTTGCCATGATTGTGACCAGATCTACCTGGAGTTCATTACCTTTGTAACTAGCTCAACTATCATAACTTTGGAGTCCAGTCCCTGGACCCATTATGTACCTCTGTAATCTACTGACTACCGCCCACAGGATGTGTATGGGGTGCATAATAAAGATATTAAACTAACTTAGCGAATGGAGGATCGAGCCTCAACCACTCGTAGCACTGAATGACCAACATGGGTTTACAGCGTCACAGGTATAATATGTATTTATACATAAAAATATAATATATATATACATAAAATATATAATATGAAATATATAATAACACTGGTCTAACCCGGGGACGTTGACCACCGAAACTCTCCAGGTATTACCTGGAGTTTACCTGGAGAGAGTTCCGGGGGTCAACGCCCCCACGGCCCGGTCTGTGACCAGGCCTCCTGGTGGATCAGAGCCTGATCAACCAGGCTGTTACTGCTGGCTGCACGCAAACCAACGTACGAGCCACAGCCCGGCTGATCAGGAACCGACTTTAGGTGCTTGTCCAGTGCCAGCTTGAAGACTGCCAGGGGTCTGTTGGTAATCACCCTTATGTATGCTGGGAGGCAGTTGAACAGTCTCGGGCCCCTGACACTTATTGTATGGTCTCTTAACGTGCTAGTGACACCCCTGCTTTTCATTGGGGGGATGTTGCATCGTCTGCCAAGTCTTTTGCTTTCGTAGTGAGTGATTTTTGTGTACAAGTTCGGTACTAGTCCCTCTAGGATTTTCCAGGTGTATATAATCATGTATCTCTCCCTCCTGCGTTCCAGGGAATACAGGTTTAGGAACCTCAAGCGCTCCCAGTAATTAAGGTGTTTTATCTCCGTTATGCGCGCCGTGAAGGTTCTCTGTACATTTTCTAGGTCAGCAATTTCACCTGCCTTACCTGGAGTTTACCTGAAGAGAGTTCCGGGGGTCAACGCCCCCGCGGCCCGGTCTTTGACCAGGCCTCCTGGTGGATCAGAGCCTGATCAACCAGGCTGTTGCTGCTGGCTGCACGCAAACCAGCGTACGCAAACCAACGTGCCTTGAAAGGTGCTGTTAGTGTGCAGCAACATTCCAGCCTAGGTAGAACAAGTGACCTGAAGAGTGTCATCATGGGCTTGGTCTCCCTAGTTTTGAAGGTTCTCATTATCCATCCTGTCATTTTTCTAGCAGATGCGATTGATACAATGTTATGGTCCTTGAAGGTGAGATCCTCCGACATGATCACTCCCAGGTCTTTGACGTTGGTGTTTCGCTTTATTTTGTGGCCAGAATTTGTTTTGTACTCTGATGAAGATTTAATTTCCTCGTGTTTACCATATCTGAGTAATTGAAATTTCTCATCGTTGAACTTCATATTGTTTTCTGCAGCCCATTGAAAGATTTGGTTGATGTGCGCCTGGAGCCTTGCAGTGTCTGCAATGGAAGACACTGTCATGCAGATTCGGGTGTCATCTCCAAAGGAAGACACGGTGCTGTGGCTGACAGAGCCATATTGCTCTGGAAATAGAACTAGTTAGGCCGCACTAATTTCTGGTCGTTGAATACGTAAATGATGCTCAGAATTGTATATAGGCTTTATATAGATATGAAGTCAGATCGGATGCTGTTGCTCTTGACTTGTTAAAACAAAATGGTAAATACGTTGTGCAGGGAAAAGGCTCTTAAGTGAATCAGTAACTGCCTAATTAAAAAAAAAATACATGGTATTTCCCATATTTCTCATCAGTAGATCCTTTTTTCCAGATTTCTCTTTTTTTTTTTTGGAAGGGGGGATGGGGACAGACTTGTACTAAATAGACTACTTATTTTGCAACTTAATTTGATTTGGGCATTGTTCGTTTTCATTTCACCTTTACTTTGGCTGTAAAATTAGAGATCAGGCCAAGAGCTGGACCCCCACACATACTCCAGTACTTATGCAACAAACCTTTGCCAGTAGCCCCGATCGATTAGGTTAGATTTTGCCACCGAAGTGGTTAGTTTATTGTGCACCCCATATCCATCCTGTGGACGGTAGCGCAAGAGCATATGGATACACAAAAGGCCCAGGAACTAGGCCCCAAAAGGGTTAACATGAATACATATGGATTTATATCTACATATCTATAGTTCACTTATCTGTTACAAGCAAATTTAGGAAATTTGCTTAGTATATCTGGTATCTTATTTTCATTAATAAGATATCTTGACATGTCTATCTCTGTATTCCTCAATAAGTGGACAATTAAGCATATAATTTACATTTAGTTTGATCATCATGTGTGTGTGTCTGCCAAACTGCCAGAAGTACTTGTAACCAAGCCTAAGCCTGGCCACTACAACATCAGTCAGTCTGTTCACATTGCAAGTTGCTCCATAAACATACTTATCTACGTTCATGTTATCATAGTGGGTTATAGATCTACTCAGACTTCTAACTGCATTCCTACAACATTCATTCTCATTATTTACTTTTCTCCTAATATTATTCCTAATGCTAGACACAGTTATATCAAAGTTATATTCTACGTTCTCCTTCTGGATACTCTTCTTGGCTAACATATCAACTTTATCATGAAGAAATAATCCAGTGTGTGAT